ATGAATTGGAAGGTTGATGGTGATGTTGAAGATGCATAAAAATTGGGAAACCTTGTCAATGGCTAAAAAAATATGTAGCTACTAGGGCTTTCATTGGTCCAAGACCAGACCGACTCGGACTGGACCGAAGACAAAAATTAGAATTTTAAGAACCGAAGACTGATTCAAGAATTTTTTAAAAAAGCATTCTAATTTTTTATTAATTTTATGGAATAATCAAAAACAGTAAAGGAAAATATACACTTAACATCTTTTTTTTTGTTATTTTTGTATATTTAGTACAAAAAAGTTCATAAATTTAAAGTTTTCTAAGTTTATTAAGAGCAACTCCAATGGCAAGCTAATTGACAAATTAGCTTGCCATGCCATCTAAGATTGCAAAGCTATTATTCCTGCTAGCTAATTCATACCACAATAGTTAGGCTAATTAATATTTAGATTTTTCAGCTTTATTTTTTAAATATTAGTATTTTATTAGAGACAATTAATTTCTTAGCTAATTAGCTTAGCTAAGCTAATTTGCTTGGCATTAGCTTGACCAAGCTAATCATTAAATATACTCCAATGGTTGGGCTATTAGCTTGAAAATTATTAAAATTGCAAGCTAGTCCTTGAAAGCAACCATTGGAGGAGGATGCCCCATTTTCTCATGGTGAGAAACAAATTTTGTTTATCAGATGGCATTTTCATAAATAAATCAACAACTTTATTCAATTGTGGAGCCCACAATAATGAAAAGGTTGTTGATTTATTCACGAAAATGCCCCCATAAGAAACATATTTCGTTTCTCACTATGAAAAACATGGAATTTCCCCCATTGGAGTTGCTTTAAGGATAATCTTAACCATTATTTAAGGTTTCACGCACATTTTTAATTAAAAAAATCGGTTCATTCGGTCAAAGACCGGTTTTTATAGTATTTTGGACCGGACCGGACCGAAGACCTGGAAAATAAATTTCTAGACCCGAAGCCCGGACCGATTAATTTGGTCCGAGGTGATCCGGTTCATTTTTTCGATCCAGACCGATTTATGAACACCTCTACTAGTTACTCCATACTATATAATTGAATTAAATCTCAACCATTCATTTGAGAGAAATTTTCAAATTTGATTAATGTTACCAAAATCATAAATATCATAGTAATTGTTCTTATAAATAGCTATTGGCATGACCTTAACTTATTTTTTATAAAATTTAATCATTTAAAGTGCGTAGTTATTTATTTATTTTTATTACTTAATATTCAAATATCTGTAATATTATGGACTATGGAGTATATAATTAAAGACAATTATAAATGTATTAAATTACCTTTTATTTGATTTCTAAACAGCATGGCTTGTATTAAATGATATAGCTTACACTTCAATCATAAAATACTTAGTTACTTGTAAAGCGAAAACCAATAAAATCAATTACTTTAACGACAATAATTAATAAATTAAATTGTCTTTATTATATCTTTTTCACAAACATCGCATTTCTTTAGTTTATCTACAGAAAATGACTAGTTTGTTACAATCGTTTTCAAGGTGATGCTATGTGGCTAAATCCTCATAGGAAAATATGTTGTCAATTCAATTACTATACAACTTTCAAGCTATGTAACAACTATATAATAATCTCTTATCGGAAACAGAACTATATATATTTAAGTTGTTGAATTAACATACAGATGGATTCAAATACTCATTGAAGCAAAGTAGGAAACAACTTGCCACTTGTCATATGTTGTTTGCCGCTTGGTGTTTTCATTTGACGCTTTCATAAATAAAGACAACGAGTTTGAAGTATACTCTTCTACGTTTGACTAAAGAATTAGTGAGAAAGATAGCGAACAAATTAAAAGGACTACTAGTTTAGTAGTTTCACTAAAGCAACACTAGTTTGTTTCAATCAACTTTCAACGTCGCGTATGCGCATAGCAATTTCCAACAAAAACATCTCACGAAGCCAACTCACTATACTTTCTCACCTCAGCTCTTACAAATTTAATTTTGACCATCCACATACAACACTACACCGACAAAAAAAAAAAAAAAAAAAAAAAAAAGAATCCCGAGTCTTGATACAGGCATGTTCTCCACTTCTTGATACAAGCATACTTCCACCACTTTTCCAACTAATTAGTTGAGCAACATTAATTTGTTTCAATCAATTTCCATCTTTATGTATGAGCATAGCAATTTTCACCCAAATTCCTCACGAATCCAACTCACCATATTTTCTCACCTCCTACTAACTTAATTTTGACCATCCACACACTACACTACAACGGAAGGAAAAAAAAAATCTTGAGTCTTGACACATGCACGCCCTCTACTTCTTGATACAGGCATGTCTTCTCCAACTTGTTAATTGAGCAACATTAATTTGTTTCAATCAATTTCCAACGCCGTGTATGTGCATAGCAATTTTCACCAAAAACACCTCACTAAGCCAACACACCATACTTTCTCACCTCACACAAACTTAATTTGACCATCCACACACTACTCTACACCGATAAAAAACTAAATAAATAAATTAACTCTTGAGTCTTGATACCGGCATGCCCTCCACTTCTTGATACTAGCATGCCTTGATCACTTATCCAATTTGTTATTTGAGCAACATTAATGTGTTATATTCAATTTTAACTGTTGCATATGCATTTAGCAATTTTCACCAAAAACCCCCTCATGAAGCCAATTCACCTTACTTTCTCACCTCTTTGAAAGTTAATTTTGATCATCCACACACTACACTATACAGGCAAAAAAAAAATAATAATAATAAAAAAGAAAGAAAAAAAAAACTCGAGTCTTGATATAGGCATGCCCTCCATTACATGTATGTCACAATCACTTCTCCAACTTCTTAGTTGAGCAACATTAACTTGTTATATTTAATTTTTTTATGTGCATTACAATTTTTACCAAAAACACTTCACAAAACCAATTCACCTTACTTTCTCACCTCTTTAGAACTTAATTTTGACTATCCACACGCTACATTATACAGACCCTTAAAAAAAAATCCGAGTCTTGATATAGGCATGCCCTCCACTACACGCATGCCTCGATCACTTCTCCAACTTCTTAGTTCAACAATTTTAATTTGTTACATTCAATTTCCAAAGTCGCGTATGCTCATGACAATTTTCACTAAAAACACTTCACGAAACCAATTTACCTGACTTTCTCACCTCTTACAAATTAAACTTAAGTTTGACCATCCACACAATTACACTACAGAGACAAAAATAAATAAATAAATAAATAAATAAAAAATCTTTAGCCTTGTACAAACATGCCTCGATCACTTCTCCAGCTTGTTAGTTGGTTTTACCTGATTTCGCTATTATTCTCATTAATATATGAGTCTACATAACATGGGTGAACAATCTAAACACACTTCAAATTCGGTGTTTTATGCAGCCATGCCCGGAAAAAAAAATGCTAATCAATCCTCGATTTCTAATCCTTGATATCTTTTCCAATTTCGTTGACCATTTCTACTTTTTCGCTATCTTTCTCATCAATTTACAAGTCAAAATGAGAGAGCATATTTCAACCTTAATGTCTTAATAAAGGTCCGTTCGATAGAAAAAAAATAAAATCTCCTAATCAATCTTCAATCTCAATTTCTCTTGTATAATTTTATTAATCTTTTCTACTATTCACCATATCTTTCTCAACTTCCCAGTCAAAAATAAAAGACCATATTTCAACCTCGATATCTTATTATAGGCATTGAGGCTAGGGCTGGCAAACGGATCAGGTCGGGTCGGGTTCGTGTTCGGGTCACCTAGTTTCGGGTCAGCAAACCCCCAACCCGACCTGATCCATTTAACTTTTTCGGGTTGGAATTCCTAACCCGAACCTGATAATTTCGGGTTCGGGTCAACCCGAATTTGACCTGATGACCTGATTTTTATTTTATTTTTTTTTTTTTTTTTTTTTTTGGGCTAAATCAAATTTCAGAAAATTCACAAGTCTTCATTTCAAAACAAAATAAACAACAAAGTAACAAATATCCTAAATTCCTTAATTAGAAATTACAAACCAAAAATATTTTTATTAAAAATCAAACCTTACAAATCATACATTATAGGATGTATATAAGAAAAAGATGAGAATAGTAAACATCATCAGCTTCATCACACTCTTACGTCCTTTCACTAATTATAACTTAGCCTTTGCTACTAGATATCATCAGTAGTGTCGCCGCCGCCTCTCATATTTTTATAATTTATATGCGTGGGAATTGTTTGTCCTTCCTTATTCTTGAACTGCAATATGGATCTCCATTCTCCACTATTGAAGAGTGAGAAAAATAGAGAGGAAAATGAAAATATGAGAGAATGAGAGAAAAGAACCTCTTGCGGCTATGAGAACTGATTCGTGAGGTTGAGAATATTGAGAGGAGTGAAAGTGTGAGAGGATTTTAGGGTTTTAGTTTTTATTAGGACTTAAATATGGGCTTGGGCTGTTTCCTCTCCTTCAGTATTGTGGTTTTTTTTTTTTTTTTTTTTTTTTGCTATTAACTTATTTCGGGTTAGATGGGTCGTTTTCGGGTTGAAAATTCCAACCTTAACCTGACCCATTTAATTATCAGGTCGGGTTCGTGTCGATCCATTTAAGTTTCCGGGTCAAGAATCTCAACCCAAACCCGCTATTTTCAGGTCGGGTTTTCGGGTCGGGTCGATTTTTGCCGGCCCTAATTGAGGCATGCCTTCCACTTCTTGGCTTTACCCTTTCACATACCTACCTCTTCCTCTTCTTTCTTCTTTCGCCACCTAACTTTTTAGTTTCGTAATTTTTCCGCCTCTTATAGTCATCTCCCACTATTTTCCACTTTCTCAATTTCTAACGTCTCTTCTCTTTTCATACTTGTGTGTGTATATATATATATATATATATATATATATATATATATATATATATATATATATATATATATATATATATATATATATATATATATATATATATATATATATATAGTACATTGTATTTGCATAATCCACTGTTTTCCATCAACTATATTCTCCAATATTCTTCCCCTTCTTCTTCTGCTTAAATCTTGACCTTGGTATCTCTCTTCTTCATCAATGGAGGCAAAACTGTTGATTTCAAAACCTCAAACTCAAGCTTATTTTAGGACTAACCCAGAAAAATTAAGGATACCCTTTAATCTTCTTCCTTATCAGAATGGAAAAAATTGCAGCTTTAGCTTTTGCAGGAGGACAAATTCGTCAATTAAGGGCATTCAATCTTCTAATGTTTCTTCAATTGTTGCTGGGTAAAAAAAGCATTTCTGCTCTTTTACTCATTTTTTTATTAAAAAAAATATTTCCCCATGTTTTTTAGTGATTAATTTGATGAATTATTGCTGCTACATTGCTTTATTTGTTCTATTATTTGGTTTGCTTTTTGGTAATTTGAGAATTTGCTGCTTGTTATTTTTTATAATGTTTGGTGTACTGGTCGAAGTTTAAATTTATTTAATGTTTGTCTTTTGCTTCAACTCTTGGCTTTATTGGGTGGTTGTGCAAATACTTTTAACATTTTATATGTACTTGTTGATTATTGAATCTATTGATGTTTGTCTTTTGGAATTGAGTTAATTGTTTGTGTTAGTGGACAGTATAGTTTTTGAACCTGTTAATCTGCTGACTGTGGTTAAAATGGAGCCAATGTTGTTGGTTTGATCCTATATCTCCACAAATAGAAAGATGTAACTAGCTGATTAAGTTGGAAGATATGTTATAATTTAGGCTTGTTTTGGTGAAAAAAGGACAGAAAAGTTTGTTTTCTGAAACAATTTCTATAGCCCCTTTGGAGAATGTGTGGGAAAAGGGTTTATCGGAACATTTTGTAACGCGTTCCTAAGAGAAAATGACATGAATGAGATGGAAGATGAACTCTTCCAGACTAGTCGCTGCCTAGATTAGGAGTCCTATGATTGATCCTGCCCCAGAAAAGGAATCTACAGATTATCTCTAAATTGCCTATGGAGTCTATTGATTCTTTTTGATTTGCCTTTGGTATGTGTTGATTATATTGATTCTCTTTAATTACCAATGCAATCTCTTGATTCTCTCCAAATGCCTATGCAAAGGATTTATTTACTAGGAAGAATATGGTTCTATGCATAAAGCTCCCAATGGAATTACATTGATTCTCTTTAATTGCCCATGGAATCTCTTGTTTCTCTCTCCAAATGCCTATACAAAGGATTTATTTACTCAGAAGAATATGGTTCTATGCTTTACCTAAAAGCTGTATACAGTCTACACAACTATAATTTTGTTAAACTAACATTTTTTTTTTTTTTTTTTTTTTTTCCCAGAATTACTACAGTTGTCTGTCTGATTAAGCTGACAAGTGACAAGTAACAATTACTGAACTACAATTTGTTCATGCAAACACCGTGATGGATTTTCCCCTGGTCTTTCCAGTTAGCAAAATTTATTTCTGTTATAAATTTAGCAGCCTTTGATGTTCCTATCTGTTGTCCCTAATATCAGTTTGTTAATAGTGTACCCTATACCCCTACCTGTACCATCAAAGAATGTTGGTAAATGGTAATGCCACTATTTTGAAAGGATTTACCAAAAGTGGCTGATGTCATACAAGTGTCCAACATTTGTGCTTTAAGATGTTTGGAATTCTTCTCTAAAATACACTTTAATAGTTTAATGTCATAGTAGTAGGCATATAAAATGTTGGATATCTCTCGGATGAGAGGGCCAGGGGATAAAGGAAGAGCCTGATGAGAATAACCATAATGGAAATATAAGTTCTCATACTAATGTTTATGGAGGAAAATATATGGCACAACTTACTGAATTGATTGTGATGTTTTTGAAGTATCAATGAAATTCTAGTGAAAGTTGAATTAATTTAAGACTTCAACTTTTGTAGCGTACAACCTAAGACAAGAATTGATGAGAGTGAAAGCTTGACCCTAGATGGTATTCGGAACTCCTTGATTCGGCAAGAAGATAGTATCATATTTGGTCTTCTAGAGAGATCGCAATTTTGTTACAATGCTGACACATACAATCCTGACGCGTTCCCTTTGCATGGCTTTCATGGGTCTTTGATTGAATTTATGCTTAAGGAAACTGAAAAGCTTCATGCGCAGGTATCATAAAATTTGAAGTTCTCAAGTATAACTAGATAGAAATATAATAATGTGCTTGACTTCTAATTTTTATTATCCCTTTGTATTTAGGTGGGAAGATATAAGAGCCCAGATGAGCATCCTTTTTTTCCTGAGGATTTACCTGAACCATTATTGCCACCTATGCAATATCCTCAGGTAATGAAGTATTTTTAACGTATCTCCCATTTTTCTTTCTCAATGTTGTTATTAACATTTAGTTATTGAATGACAAACAATTATGGAGTCATCACCATCCTCTAATCCTTTTACTTTTTGATTAACAACTTGGCAGTCACTTATGTGGAAATAATTGTATGCAATTATGTATGCCATCCATCCTGCTAGATTTTTGATTTATTAAAATAGAAATTCATGAACTCTTGAAAAAAAAAACCGTGTATGATTTATTCGTGAGTGTAGGGTGGAAGATATGAAACTTAAGAAAACAAGACTTTTAATAGACAGGAAAATAAAACTAAGGCTTTGTTCTTTTCACTCTAAAAGTAAATATGAAATTTAAAGTCCGGGTAAGGGTTACCTACTTTTAATAGACAGGGTAAATATGAAATTTAAAGTCCGGGTAAGGGTTACCTACTTTTAATAGACAGGAAAATAAAACTAAGGCTTTGTCCTTTTCACTCTAAAAATAGATATGAAATTTAAAGTCCGGGTAAGGGTTACCCAAGTTGAATTTAAGACTAAGTTCAATTAATTTCAGTTAAGGGTCAATAAGCTTAGGTAACTTTTGGAAAAGGGCTTGTAAGTTCAGATAGTGGTTTTTAAAGGTAAAATTAAAAAAAAAAAAAAAAAGAAGGTAATTTTATGCCTTCATTTTGGTATTGAGGAGGATTTTGTTATAGACTAATCTTAGGAGAGGCAATTTGGGAAGTGTAGTATTATTAGGTTAGTAATCTTTAGCTTTAGTATAAATAGAGAGAGGGAAGAAAGTAGAAGACAGAAATTTGGAGTAAATCTTTAGAGACTTGTCATCTCAAATTACTATTATGAGAGTGCTGACCTAAAAGTCAATAATAGAGATTGGCATTTGCATCCTAAAGTTGTTAGCTTTTACAAATCCCTGATTTTCAACATTTTCAATCAAGGATTTGATCCTTTCTCTCTTTACTCTGTGTTAAAGGTGTGTGTGAATGTGTGATAGTCCAGCAAGCATGAGTCTATCACAAATGCTCTCACTGATTCTAAGGTGTGAATGGGGGATTTATCCAGATTCTCTTACATGTTAATCTTTACTAGTTTGTGTGAATTGCTCTCCTCAATTCCCAGCTTTTAAGTCAAGCTAAGTATGGAAGATTAACACTGATGACATGCTCCAAATACATAGGTTGAGGTGGGTTATTTAATTGGACATATACTTGTTTGCAGTGCTAATAGTAGTCTTGTTCACTCTTTTTTTTCCAACATGAGATGACTAGTACCTCTGGAGTAGTTTGTTTGCTGTACATGAAGAGTCTTGGGTATTCCCTTTTGAGGTTATGAATTGGTTGCAGATTTATTTTTGAAGACTTGGTAAGGAGAGTTTTCTATGGTGCAATCCGCATTGCCTTCATGGCAAATGTGTGGTATGTGTTCCTGGAAAGCTGGAAATAAACTCCTATGTCTTTTCTCAAAGCTCTTTGTCTTCTGATTTGTGGTGGAACAAAGTCACTTATTCAGTGTCATTATGGACTAAGGCGTTTGGAGCTTACAAGAGTTACTACTTACTATTGGGGAAGTTCAACGAAATTGGGTTATTCTGTAAATTTGGTATTTTGAGAGGACAGATTTCCCTCTTTTCTAGTACTACTTCTTCAACTGTTAATATAATTCATTTTTCCTGTCAAAAAAGTTATGCTAGATATTGAAGTACGTCATAATAAACTCATGCTCTTGATTGAATAGTTTTCTTTTGATAGATCATGTAACTTTATAAGATGTCAATATATTCCATTTGAGACAACATATAGATCTGTAGGGGATCTAAAATAAGCCAGCTTCTTTATACTTTTGTGAGAAAGGCTTTTAAATCAGCATTTGTAGACTAAACTTAAATAGGCTTTGCTTTAACAGGCTGTATCATAGTGGAAGCTATTGTTCAAATATTATGTAGCCTGTAATAGTTGAACTAGTTGTTTTGTGACTTTTGTCAAGAGATATTAACTTAACTTTTGAATGTCGGGATAGATCATAACATTCTTACTGACAAAGCATAATAACAGCCTTGAGACAAATATGTTCAACTAATTGTATCTTAAATATAGTGTGATGCCTTATATTGTATTTTTTAGGTTGATGAATTCAATGGTCCATCCACTTAGTAAAATGTTAACTTATGAATGGTAATACACTAATACCTGTCCTGAATACTCTGTGTTTGTACTTATGTGTAAATGAAATCAGCTTTTACTTATGTGTAAATGAAATCAGCAAAATACTGCGTGAGAGTGAGAGACTTGTGGGAGTTACTGGGTGGGAGTCAACAGAAGCCGCCTGGAGCCTGAAGAGGAAACAAAAGACTTATTTTTCCCTTAATTGGTTAAATCATCAATTTCTAAGCACTTTGCTGGACATTCACCAGCTCCGCGGCTCCGCCCACTTTTCACTTGTGAAGAAATTCATGAAAGAATCTTGATTCATATTAAAGGAAAGAAAATGAATGAGACTTTGGAATGCTGCTTGCTCTGATCAGTCAAACACAGGGGGGAAAAAACCCCTAAATTTTTAGAAAATGGAAGTATAGGGCATGGCAGAATAAAGAAGATGCAACTATTAGCTTGAAATTCATACAATTTCATTCAAGTCTTTAGTGTCTATGCTTTTAGATGGTAGTATAAAAAATTGTTTATAGAAGATGCATTAATCAAGAGAAATACTATATAAGCTTCCCTTTCTCTTTCAGATACAATGGATGTGATCTTAAGATCTTATATGTGTAGTGTAATGCTGTCTGATGCAAATTAAAAGTTATTGATTGTTTATTGGTTGAATTGTGTTGGTCATTTGTTCTGATTATGTCAACTACTGCTGCTTTATATGTAGGTTCTCCATCCACATGCTGATTCAATTAATATAAACAAATTAATTTGGGATATGTACTTCAATGACCTTCTGCCAAGACTTGTAAAGGATGGAGACGACGGAAACTGTGGTTCTTCTGCTACTTGTGACACAATATGCTTACAGGTATGAATACTTAAGCTAGTTATCTACCTTCACAATAGTTGCATTTAGTTATCGTGATTTGGTGTGACAATATAATCAAAAGAAAGTTTTTACAATAAGCTGAGTTTTCACTTTAATTTTAGGAGAAATGGACATTTACACGTACTTTAAGTTTCTAGATTCATGGGTTGCTGGTAAGAGGTTTCTGTAGTACTCTGCCACTTTAGGTTTCTAGATTCATGGGTTGCTGGTAAGAGGTTGCTGTAACCTTCTCTTCTTGCATAATTTTATCTCCAATTGAGCTATGTTATTGTCCTAACAGCATCGTAATCTGAGGCTCATATCTGCTGTATTATCTTGTTTGGAGAACTTTGGTAGTTCCCTTTTCCCAGTAGTCTGACGGTCTCTGACCACATTAACAACTGCCATGGAAAGATTCTGCATTGGAGTTCCTACTTCCTAGGGAGGTCTATGTGTACTACAACCTTACTTTTGTGAACCTTTCGTAATCGGGTTGGAATGTCTTATAATCATAATAACCATAGAGAAAGAGACTTATACACCTCAAATGTGGAGTTTTCCTGCACATCCTCCCCACTTTTGCTCATGGGAGGGATGCTTCAATTTTACCTTCTAATCAATGTATATATTGTAAGTTAGTGTTCGCAAAGCAATGCAATGTTGAGAGTCCAAAGTGTATTCTGCATAAATAGTACTCTTGTTTTTCTATTAACAGAATGCTTGTGTTACCTGGAGACTTTTAATAAAATCCCTGCAGACTGCAGCTTTAATCTCTCCTTTTCCTCCAGCTGTTAGGTTTGGAGTACACAGATAAGTGAGCAGATTTACACCTTAGAACACACTTTTACTTAACCTGCTCTAAAGGATATATATGGAGTACATGTTCATCTTGGTAGAACCACTCTAATAGCTTCGATTATTAAGAGTTTAGTCTGCATATATCACTAAGGCCAGGACCTTTACAAGCTCATCATTTCTACTTTTGGCTGCTGTATTTTAGTCATGCAAAGTTTCTGCACTACTTCTGTATATTTAATGATCATATTGCTGGCAAATCACTAATTTGATATTGAGACTTGAGGCAATGAACTGGTTTTTATAGGACAAACTGCAGCAAATATAAAATTTGCCGTGAAGGATTGGTGGCATTGATCACAGAACCTTCAGTAAAATATGAATGAATATATCTGTAGTTTTGTACTTCTATCTGTGAGGACATAGTGCTGAACATTTCTGTTAAGTTCATCTTCTTTCTTGCAGGCACTCTCTAAAAGAATACATTATGGTAAGTATGTGGCAGAGGCAAAGTTTCGAGCTTCACCTGATATCTATACAGCTGCTATTGCGGCACAAGTAAGAGTTTATAAATCTTACACATTAACAAATAAATATTTGTAGCTAGTTTGGCTCTAGAAGCTCTTCTCTGATGTTGGTACTCTAACTTTGCAGGATAAAGATCAATTGATGAATTTGCTGACATATGAGGCAGTGGAGCTAGCTGTACAGAGAAGAGTTGAAATGAAAGCCAAAACATTTGGACTTGAGGTGCCTGTCAACCCAGATGCTATTGGTGACGAGTCATGCCCCGCTTACAAGATCAAACCTAGCTTGGTTGCCAATCTGTATGGGAAATGGATTATGCCTTTAACAAAAGAGGTTCAAGTTGATTACTTATTAAGAAGGTTGGATTGAACTTAGCCTCATTTTCCTAGAGTGCGATGAGATTATACAATCAAACTCAGCATTTTTTTGATTGTTTGTATCAATGTGAACTATGGATGATTCGATGGGCATGATATTGTACGGGTTTAATGTATAGCTCACTAGCTTGTATAGCCCTTGACCCCTGTGTAACTGTTTCCTTAATGACTGGGGAAAAAATGATAAATTGATGAACTCGTGATTTCATGAACCATTAGTGTAGCCCCAAGAGAAGGCATTCTGTACTTTGTTAGTTGTCAGTCTTGGTATGGTTAAGCTCTTTTCTGTTTGTTACAGGACTTGTCTATAGAATTGTTTGTGGCATTGCATTTCTAAAAGATTGTTCATTCAGACCGTTCATTGTTTTGGTGATATAGCACAGATAGGTTCACAGTTCGAGATCAGAATGTATGATTGGTTAGTTCTCTGGACAGGTAACTGTTAAAGCCTGAAAAACTGTGTCGTCTTTAGATAAGCTTAAGCAAATGGGGTGTGATATGGCTTTTAAAGGTAATGAAAGCAAGGGAGGGGCAACGTTCTACTTCTGGAACTGCAGGACAAGTTCTTAATTGGAACTTGCTGTCACACTTGTTTGTTACTTGCTGGAACTCGCAGACTAAGTTCTTTTCTAGAACTTGCTTCACTTGCACTCCTGTTTGGAAGATGTTCACTGTGTACATGTTAGGGAACACCTCATGAACCTAATAGGGATCATGCTCCGACTCTTGTGGGAAAGCCGGCCGAAAGTTCCTTCTGGATCACTCATGAACCTATTATGTATGTTGAAATAGGGGTGGTGCAATAAAAAAATTTGGTACTTAAAAAAGGTAGTTTAGTAAATAAAAAAACATAAAAAGGTGGTTTTTTCTAAAACGTTATACAAAAAAGGTGATTTATACCAATTTTTCCTTAAACAAAAGAATTAATGGGCCCTTTAAATTAAAGTGGCAATAAAAATACGGAGTATTCAATCGAAGAAGAGAGCAATCCATCAAGGATGAAGGATCTACCCAACTTTTCTTTTATCGTGGCATAGTTACAACAAGCCAGCATGCCCAGCAAGTATTATACCAAGCCATCAATATGATTGCAGAGTAATGATCAGAAGGTAAGTCTCATAGGAGGAGGAGAAAGTTTTTTTTTTGACGAAAAAAAAAAAAAACAAAAAAAAAAACTCTCCTCCTCCTATGAGACTTACCTTCTGAGGAGGAGAAAGTTAGTAAAAGAGAAAGTTACTAGATGATGATAATCAAAATACAAGAAAGCAACTCAGAATATCTTTTACATTTTTTTGTATGTGGCTGGCCAGCCACAATTTTATCTATTTTTTTTAAAAAATAATATAAGCCTTCTCTCTCCTTTATCTCTCTCCACTTTTTTTAGCTTCTTCTCCAACTCAAACCACACATTACCAACAACCATATCTCTACTCCACCCATTTTCTCTCACCTCTTTTCTTGGTTTCTTCTTCAAGTTAGATCACACATCACCAACAAACATATCTCTACTCAACCCATTTTCTCTCTCCTCTTTGCCAAACTGATGCAATTAAAGTCCGAAATTGTAAGATTTGGGTGTCAAATTGCTGTGAAAATTTCGATTAATTAAGCTTAAGATCATCAACAACATTTGAAGTGGTGTAATCAATGAGAACCGGAGAAATGTGAGCTCGTTTTCTTCGTGGAATCTTCGATCGGACATTCTTCGTCAATAAATCAGCAGCAGAAACAACAATAGTAGTATGAGCAGATTATAGATTACTTGTAGGGTGTGATTGGTTTGGTCAGGGGTTACTTGTAGAGTGTTACTGGTTTAGTTAGGGGTTACTTGTACGGTGTTTCTCGTCAGGGGTTACTTGTAGGGTTTTAATGGTTTTGGTCGGGGGTTACTAGTTTTGGTCGGGGGTTACTTGTAGTCTTGTAGGGTGTTACTGGTTTGGTATGGGGCCTACAAGCAACTCTTGAATATGTAACTTATTCAAGTAACCTTGAATAAGTAACTCATCATACAAGTAACCCCAAAAGTAACCCATACAAGTAACTCTTGAATAAGTACTCATACAAGTCATCCTTTAAGTAACCTCTGAACAAGTTATCTATACCAGTAACCCCTGACAAAAAAAAAAAAAAATAAATAAATAAAAATAAGTAATCCCTAAAAAATACAAGTAACCCCTAAATAAGTAATGGACAAATCTTGTGCTGGTTTCATCACGAGTTGTAAAGATGACAGTTTAATTCAGTTATACATTAATTTGAGCAATTTAGGTGGGACTAGGAGTTGGAATGTTGTGTGATCGAAAATGACATTACTCAAGGACTGGTTTGCGTCTTCCCTATTTGGCGAAGTCATTGCAAAGAAGATGTGTGCGATGGGTTTGGTTTGCCGGTTGGCTGATCTCAAAGTGATGGTCAGCTCATTAGGGTTGCGGTACTAATGTCCATTGAAATAATTTAGCTACTTGCGGGTGTAGACAGAGTACTGCTTATACTTGTACATAAACGTTGCTTTTTGTTGTTTAGGTTAAACATTTGGATTATGTTATACCTAATAATTTGAAAAGGGGCATAATTATTAATTACTGTACACTTTTATACTCATAATTACTCCACATAATTTTTATAAGCAAAATTTTATCTGTGTAATAATGTTTAACAAGAATATTTGTGGTGACATAACATTGGTAGTGAAGCTCATAACGGATTTAAAGTTAGTTGATCAATTCTAAAGAACCCAAGTTGCGCAACAATCCAAGTGAGGAACACAGTCTTAAGGCATTAGCCACATTATTACAAACCTCTCCTACTGTTGCTATTATTACTACAGGTGAACATGGGTCATGTCGACCTGCAGGCGGCACGGGACCAACACGAGATTGGCCTAGCACGGCACGAGCCCGCCAATGCCACGACACGACAAGGTGACTGAGGAATGGGCCGTGCTGTGAACACGATTTCAAGAATCTGGCATGAGCACGGCACGAACCCGCGGGCACAACACGGTATTTTGGCCCGCCAGCACGACATGCCAAGCACGGCCTGGCACGACCATAAAATAACATAAATAACAATAAAAAACTATCCCTACCTTATAAAAAGTGGGAGAATACTCTTATAAATAGTGTGAAGACTATTATACCCTTAAAAAAGTTAATTGACATATTTACCCCCAATTAAAATTAATTTTGATGCATTTAAGTATTTAACCTTTCGTATTTTTGTCCTCTATTTCTTTTGTTTATCTTCCTTCTTATCATTCCACCGTAAAGGCCAAAACTCTTCATTTATCAATTTTCTCTTTTTTCACGAACTCCTTTTCTGTTTGCTGGAAAATACTGCTAACATGTCAGTTTCCATTCCGATACCCCCGATCATCACCCACCACTGCGATAATTCTAGAAGGATGATGACCCTGTTGGTTGCTTTTTTATACTAAAGGAAATGTATAGTTTGTGCAATCTATTTGTTTATGTTATACGAAGAGGTGAATAAGAATGCTATTCGGAGACGCCTGTATCCAGTTAGAGTTGGAGACAGCTCAAGATTGGTAGAGTTCACGGATGAATGCAATAATGGTACCTTCGTAGTGGTGGAGTATAATTGCTTGGATACCATTAAAATAATTTTAAAAAAAAAACAAAAAAACAAACAGAAAAAAAACATAAGAGTAATACTTTTGATGTAATCACTTTTAGTTGTGATTATAGGGGAGTCAAACAAAGCAACACTTTTGATGAGTTTTCTATGGAATGTAGCATTTATGTCTCACATATGAGGTACTATATATAGTCTTATGCTATTGATTAAGAGGCTGTTTGAAGATGTATTTTGCTTTAATTACTGTGTCATTGTCTCGATTTTTATCCTAAAAAATGCTTATAGTTTATGATTATTGAAAAGAGTTAAGATGTACTCATACATCATCAGTTAAATACTCGTAGCTCATAAATGCTATCTCCTCCATTATATGGTCCAAAGCCTTTGTACCAGGGTGTTAAATGAGGGTTTTGTCCTCTCCATAACACTGCTATTGTAGTTATAGAATGATGCAATAGCTTTGATTGCCTTTTTATATAGTACTAATACGTACATTGGCGAGTTATAACATATATGACATTTTCAACATGAATAATCATAACACAAAACATGTTTCCACAATTAAATAAATTAAGATATGATCTCTTATTTATCGACCTAAGACAAGTATAATTCAACATCAAATCAAATATACGTAAACTTTGAGGTTCAAATTTATAACTCCCCTAGTAATAATAAAAATAAGAGTAATAAAAAGAACAATAATAATAATAATAATAATAATAAAACATATATTGATAAAATTGTTTAAATATTAAATCCATTTTAAAAGTAGCTCAAAAAAATAAATAAAAATAAATAAAAATAAAAAATATTATGGGCGGCCCGGTGCTCGGTACGGCACGCCAGGCACGTGAGGCATGACGTGCCGTGGGCTGGGGTGTGCTAAATGGTGGCCCGGTCTGGCACTGTAATACCCCGTATTTTTATACGTAGTTTATTTTAAATAAGTTTTTTGTGAGGTATTTAAATAATTTGAAATGAATTATTTATGGCATTTTAATCATTTATTTTAAACAATTTTGGAAATATTTTTATAAAAAGGAAAGTTTTATAGTAGTTAATTAATTATTTTAGTAAGTTGGGATTTATTTTAGAAAAGTTTATTTAAGTTAAGTTCTATTAGGAAAGGGATTAGTAAAGATTAAAAAAGGGAATTTCAGGTAAGAAGGGTTTCTAGAGAAAGGGGTATATATATTCAACAATTGGGCAAATTAAACTTTGCCCAGAGTGGAGAATACCCAAGGTAAACTTTCTCTCCCTTCTCCTTATTTCTTTTTCTTTCTTTCCCCCTTCCCTTTTGCACGCACCACCATCGGACACCAACACATCACCGGTGGGCCGTTGGCCACCACCAGCAGCAGCAATGGCGGCACTAGCACCAGCAGTTGGCTGTGGTCCTGTGGTTGTTGTCCGGCCACCCCCTTTTGGAAAATTTTTTTTATTATTTTTTTTTTAATCCTAGATCTAATTATTGATTATGAGTTTTATGATGATTGATTTTAGGTATGGTGCAAATTAATTTTTAGATTTTAATTTTAATTAAAAAGCCCCAAATTTTGAAACCCTAGATTTGTAAATAATTGATTATTGAAGGAGTGGTTTAAACCTTTAATTGAGGGTTTTAAAGTATAATTACAGCAAGTTTTCATGATTTAATATTGCTGGGAATTTTGCCAGTAAGCTAAAAAAAAATAA